TCAGCCATTCACAGGTGGGTAGGATTCCCTGAGACAAGCCATTATGTATGATTATAATAACAAAAGCAATGAAAAGCAAAGGCTAGAGTCAAAGAAACAGATTCAACATGGAGTCAAAATTGGCTCGTCCATGTTACAATACTGTGATATTGTGATTTGTAATAAGAAATATAGATTTGGCCTTCATTGCCATTTCTGGCACAGAGCTCCTAAAACCCTGGGAATTTCTTAAGCGCGGAGAGTGGTGAAGGTGTTTTTTGTTATGTTAATGAGGTGACTTTTGGAAAGACTCTAGATTCCTAAGGGTGTGGGCTGGTCACCAGAGGAACTATCCATGTGATTAGAGGGTTGGAACTTTCATCCCACATCCTGACCTCCTAGGAGCAGAGAGGAGCTGGAGGTTAAATCATTTGCCAATGGCCAATGATTATTTTTTTTTCTTTTTAAATTTTACTTTATTTTTTATATAGCAGGTTCTTATTAGTTATCTGTTTTATACATATTAGTGTATATATGTCAATCACAATCTCCCAGTTCATACGTTTGTTTTCTACATCTGTATCTCTAGTTCTACCTTGCAAACCGGTTCATCTGTACCATTTTTTCTAGATTCCATATATATGCATTAACATACGATATTTGTTTTTCTCTTTCTGACTTACTTCATTCTGTATGACAGTCTCTAGGTCCATCCACGTCTCTACAAATGACCCAATTTCGTTCTTTTTTTATGGCTGAGTAATATTCCATTGTATATATATGTACCACATCTTCCTTATCCATTTGTCTGTTGATGGGCATTTAGGTTGCTTCCATGACCTGGCTATTGTAAATAGTGCTGCAGTGAACATTGGGGGGCATGTATCTTTTTGAATTATGGTTTTCTCAGGGTATATGCCCAGTAGTGTGATTTCTGGGTCATATGGTAGTTCTATTTTTAGTTTTTTAAGGAACCTCCATGCTGTTTTCCATAGTGGCTGTATCAATTTACATTCCTACCAACAGTGCAAGAGGGTTCTCTTTTCTCCACACCCTCTCCAGCATTTGTTGTTTGTAGATTTTTTGATGATGGCGATTCTGACTGGTGTGAGGTGATACCTCATTATAGTTTTGATTTGCATTTCTCTAATAACTAGTGATGTTGATCAGCTTTTCATGTGCCTCTTGTCCATCTGTATATCTTCTTTGGAGAAATGTCTATTTAGGTCTTCTGCCCATTTTTGGATTGGGTTGTTTGTTTTTTTTAATATTGAGCTGCATGAGCTGTTTATATATTTTGGAGATTAAGCCTTTTTCCATTGATTCGTTTCAATGGCCAGTGATTTAATCAATCATGACTATGTAATGAAGCCTCCATAAGCACCCCAAACAAACAGGTTTCGGAGAGCTTCCGGATTGGTGAACACGTGGAGATATGGGGAGAGTGGAGAGCCCAGAGGGGCGTAGAAGTTCCTCACTCTTTCCCACATACCTTGCCCTAAGCATCTCTTACATCTGGCTGTTCCTGCATCATATCCTTTTATAATAAACTCATGATTTAGTAAGTAAAATGTTTCTCTGAGTTCTGTGAGGCTCTCTAGCAAATTAATTGAACTCAAGGAGCGGGTCGTGGGAACCTCTGATTTATAGCTAGTTTGTCAGCAAACCTGGACTTTCAGCTGGCATATAAATTGAATTACCAAGGAGGGTGTCATTGGAACCTTCAACGGGTAGCTGGAAGGTCAGAAACATAGGTAATAGTCTGGGCTTGCAGTTGATATTTGAATTGAGGGAGGAGCAGTCTTGCAGGGCTGAGTACTTAACCTGTAGAATCTGATGCTATCTTCTGGTAGATAGTGTCAGTTTTACATTAAATTGTAGGATGCCCTGCTGGTGTCTGAGAATTGCTCATTTCTGTGGGGAAGCTCTGCCCCCTCCACATGCTGAAATTGGGTGTTGACCCAAAAGATATACTATTAGCAGTTTTGTCACTGTTGTTTTGAGTCTTTCAAATACTTTATGTGGATTGAATGTTAAGCAAAAAATAGTAACACTTCTTACACATAGTGGATTTGGGTTTGCTTGTGATGGGGTCTTATATTTTGTATGTTTTATTCTTCATTTCATTTGTCTAGGAATTTATTTTTAGAGTATTTGACAAAATTAGCATTTTGTGGCACAGTAAAAACTAACGGGTCTTTCACTGCCGATAGTTTGAGAAGCACTGCTGTAGAACTAACTACTCAGGGTGGTGGCTCTTCTTGTGGTAAAGGTCACACGCATCCTCTGTGTGGGTCCATCATTGAATCCATATTTGTAGTCAGGGGTCACTTGTAGATCTTGTCTTATTTGCAGAGTAGAGGTAAGTGATGACAGTTGAATCCTGAGCCAGTTCAGGTTATTAGCCTCAAACATTTATCTCAACTCTTCTCAGGTGTTTCATCATTTGGTAATCCCTGAGAAGGGGAAAAGGTTCTTTTCAAAGGCTTTTAATTGCATGGTTACAGAATATGTCATTTGAAGCCTAGGAACCCTAAGTCGCATAACTACCAGAAAGAAGGAGCAAAGAAGTTTTGTTACACTTCTGTCAAAAATGCTTAAATGATGCAAATCACATTTTTGAATGACTATTCTTACTAGACATATGCCAGATAATTATTCAGAATTCAGACATGGATTTTTTGATGGAATTTTAAAATAGTTCTCACTGTGGCAGAGTTAAGAGTAGTTCTGGCACTCTTGTAAATATTTTAATACTTTTTAAACTGTAGCCATTTAAGACACTACATCGTGTAGATATGTTATATGTAAAGAAATGAGCACTTTTTTCTAAGGTTAGAATTAACGTATATTGACTAGGAAAGTACCAATACTTGTCTTAGACTGCACTCTCCTAGAAGCAGACTCGGAGACAAGGTTTGAGTCCAAGTAGTTTATTTCAGAAGTGATCCTAAGAAGCATGGGCATTAGAGTAGGGAGTTGAATCAGAGAATGTGAGGAAGGCTGATAACAGATGTGGTTTCACACAGGTTCCACTGTGGGCAACTGAGGCTCAGTTCCACAGGGGATCTGTAGGAACACTGAATCTCAGATGAATGAGATTGATGAATCTCAGAGTCATCCCAACTGAGTGATGAGGAAGCTGGAGTATTTATCTACCAGTTCCCTGACCATTCTTGGTAGGGGGCTGCTTCAAGGGTCATTAATCTTCTGGCACTCCTGGCTGAGTGTGCTCCCATGTGCCAGAGAAAAAGCCCTCCAGCAGAGATTTGTAGGTCTTTACCTACAAAGTAAGTAGGTGAGTAGCTTTCCGAATAAGAGGTGAATGCTGGAGAGATATGGTCAGTCTACCGACAGTATCACTAAAGCATATGGCTCAGATTGTGGTCTTCACACCCATGCCTGTCTATCCCAGGTTTGGGATGAACCAAGGAGCTGAGTTTGTACAGTAATGTAAACCAAATGCTCTGACTCCTTCATTGAGAAAGTCTTGCCTGTATATATGTAGGTTCTGGGTGGGATGAACAGCTTGTGATCTACTACCTCACTAGTAGAGCAGCACTTTTGAATAGCTCATTGCTATATTACACTACTGATCAGACACTGGTTTCTTTACTTAATCTTAATATTGCTTAATTATTTTTAAACTCAGATGTGTAGCTTCATGATCAAACATGTGGTCTATATGTAGTGAATGGTGCTATGATGTAAAGGCACCAAATTTTATGATATAGGATACAAACATGCCAAATTACAAAATTGTATACATTTTTGTTGTCTTAAAAACAGACCTCTTAAATAAATATCATTATCACAATCAGTTATGACTTGATAACTTATTCTTTGATTTTCTAAATTTTACTTTTATAAGTTACATAAGCTGGCAAAGAAATGAGAAAGGAATTTCACATCCTTATGTTTTTAATGAAATGGCACTTGAAAAAAACTGTCCTCAAATCAGTTAATTTTTTAATTAGGTAATGCAATATTATGATTTATAATAAATATATTTGGTCTGACCAAATATATATATTTCTCATATATATTTTGTCCAAAATATGTATATTTCTCATATATATTTGGTCTTCATCCACGGTTCCTGGCTTATAGCTCCCCAAACCCTTGGGATTTCCTGAGTGATAAGAGCAATGGGAGCATCTTTTGTTATAATATTTGGTGTTTTTTCCTCAGTTCCTGAAATCCCTTCAGAGCCATAAAGTTGAAATGGATATCTTGTTATTCATAAGAAGCCCCTTTCCACCAAAACTAGGTTTACGTTAATGAGGTGACTTTTGGAGAGCACCTAAGGATGGGAGCTGGTTGCCAGGGGAACCAACCAAGAGTAGAGCATTGAGAACTTTCACTCCCATGTCCTGATTTCCAGGGAGGGAATAGGAGCTGGAGGTTGAATCAGTTCCCAGTGTCTAATTATTTAATTAATCATGCCTGTGTAATGAAACCCCCCCATAAAACCCCAAAGGAGGGGGGTTCAGAAACCATCCAACCAGAATGCTTCCACAAGCCACCATGCTGGTTCCCAAACTCCACGAGGAGAGAAGCTCCTTTGTTCAGGACCTCACCCTATGTATCTCTTCATCTGGCTATTAATTCCTATCTTTTAATTTCCTTTGTAACAAACCAGCAATCTAATGAGTTAAAGGGTTTCCTGAGTTCTGTGAGCTGTTCTAACAAATTAATTGAACCCAAGGAAGGGGTCCTTGGAACCTCCAACAGATAGCCCATTGGTCAGAAGCACAGGTAGCAACCTGGGCTTGTGATTGACATCTGAAGTAGAGGACAGTTTTGTGGGACAGAGCTCTTAACCTATGGACTCTGATACAACTTCTGTGTAGATACTACCAGAATTGAGTTGAATGTAGGACATCTAGCTGGTGCCAGAGAATTGCTTGGTGGTGTGTATTTACTCTTTGCTTGGTAGTATTTACTCTTTAAATACTAGCTTTTCTTTTGCCATTCAGGTCTAGTAAAATTTCTTTCTCTCTCTCTTACCCAAATTTTAGGTTCTGGTACTATACCGAGTTATGCCACATAGCATCAATAATCTGCCCCCTGTACATGGGCAAAATTCACCAAAAGTCAATCCTTGTTTTGCATCCAGCAACATATATTCTAATCCTGAAAGGATTCTGCTTAGTTTGATGAACACAAATTATGAGAACAGCTGACATGTTATTTGGAAAAACTGTCCCAAAGGTGAGAAATTTTTTCTTTAAATAAATTATCACAAATTGTAGTCTGACAATATAGAAGGAACCACAGAACCAAACACAGAATCCATAGATTCTAGACCTGACTACAGCATTTAATAGGATGTCCTATAACATTTTCAAGATCAGTTTCCTTACATGTGTCAGGGAGGGGGAAATTTCCCCCTCTACCTGTCTTGAATTCTTGTGGCTGGACTAATAATAAAATTAACACAAGACAGATTAACAGGAGAAAAAGAAACACATTTTAATTCATGTGTATGGAGGTCCCATAAAAATTGGACCTAAGAAGTGGCCAAAGCAGGCAGCTTTTATACTTTTTAAACAGAGAAATTGGTGATGAATTGGCAGGACAAAGAAACTTGGACTTTGGGTGCTTAATTAGTGAAGAATCTAAGCAGAATTTGGGCTTGGGGTAGTCAATTAAATAAGTAATGTTTTGTTTATACAGGTATCTCTGCCCAAATTCCCTGTCTCTTGTGATAACGGTGTCCTTCTGCCTTCAAATGCAGGGAGTGCACCTTTCACGTGATAGATTCATCTCCTACTTTCAGGGACACAAAGAGGAGGGTCAAAGTGTCCCTCTTGCATTGGCTGTTTCTTAAGTAACTTGAATTCAAAATAATCAGTATGCCATTGAGGCACATTTTGGGGCAGCCTGCCCTGGGCCCCAACACATGTAAAATGGAAATAATAAAAGATGCTTCTTCAATTTATTTTGAAGAATAAATGGTAAAAATTATGTAGAGATGCTCTACAAATGAAAGATCGCCTTAACACTGCTGGCATTTTCAGCTCTATAAAGTATTAAATTTAGGTGACACTGCTGAAACCTTGTACATAATTAGTTGAGACCAAGTGAAAATTGACTAGAAAACACCTTACATGTCATTGTGACAGTCATATTGGTAATCACTAAGTGTGAATTTTGAGGGGGTAGGTCATATTAGGTCCATATACCAAGACCAAGACAAACAGGTGATCATAGATAGACCTGCTGCAGTGTTCAGGTGGTCACTCCCTGGTTCTGTCCTTGAGGAATGAGGCTTTATAAATTTCTACCCCAAGAGGCTTACATTCTTTGAAATAGTTCCAATTGGCTAGTATAGCTGTGCATTTTTTTCTTCATCATAAGCATTGCTTGTATTGAGAAGAGGACATGTGCACATTGTTTGTTTCTTTGGCTTCCATTCAGCTACCCTCTTCCAAGTACATACAAACCTGTCATGTTCAGAGTGGGTTATGTTTTATTTTTTATACAGAACCCTCAGAGTTTAATCTAAACTTTAGAAGTAAGGGGAAGATTAAAAGTATGATTTAAAATGAGACTTTGAATTACAGTTGCTCCTAACTTAAAGGCATTAGTTTAGCAAACATAGTGACATCAAGATTGAAAGAGATATATTGATATATTGGTATTAGAGAACAGTAAACATGGAATATTTTATCACCTTCTAATTGACATGCTGATAATATCAAGCAATTTGCCTTGAAACTGCAATTTAATAAGATTCAAATCTTATAAACATGTATTTGGCCTATTCAAAAATGTAAAACAAGGACTTCCCTGGTGGTGCAGTGGTTGAGAGTCCGCCTGCCGATGCAGGGGACACAGGTTCATGCCCCGGTCCGGGAAGATCCCACGTGCCATGGAGCAGCTGGGCCCATGAGCCATGGCCGCTGAGCCTGCGCGTCCGGAGCCTGTGCTCCGCAACGGAAATGGCCACAACAGTGAGAGGCCTGCGTACCGCAAAAAAAAAAAAAAATGTAAAACAAGGTATTGATAAGCACTTTGATTACTGAGGAGTAACACTTTAACCAGAGTGTTATACGATATGTATATATATTAGAAATGAATATGTCCTTTTGTTGTAAAATTATTATGGTTCTATTTTTTACCAACAAAATGACGTACACAAGTTGTTTTCACAGAGTTTGCTGCATTTTTTAGAATAATGCATTATGGGCCCTGGCCTATTTTCTGCTTTATAAAACACTGTGTCTCATGCCTTTGCAAAGCCCTTGCACTTTCTATTCCCTCTGCTTGGAGCTTCATTTTCTTGGATATCTTCACGATTCTTTTTCCCACTTCACTCAAGACCCTGCTCAAATATCACATTATCTGAGAAGCTTTCCCAGTACCCTCTCTAAATTAGTACATCCTTCAGTCCTTCTCTTTCTTGCTTATTTTTCTCAATAGTGTTGATCCCCGGTCATATTTATACCCTGCCTCCTCCTGTAGAATGTGAGCTTCTTAACAGGAACAGTCTATACTGTTTTGTTGTTCGCTGCTGTAGTCTCAGAAAAGTGCCTGGAAAATAACAGATATCAAATACTGAGTAAATAAATAAATGAATGAAAAATGAGTGAATAAAGGGACACCCTCAGGTTTTATATATTTCTCTACCCTATTTCAGACAACTGAGTGTACATTAGCTTACTAGTTTCTACCTGCTAGTACCAATGTAGGGATCAGGTCGAATTGTTGAATTAGAAAGAGGCAGTTTCCGTGTTCAGTATGTACCTGAGTACGGGTCTGCATGGTTAATAGCTATGGTGGTCCATGAGGAGAAGCTCTCTGAAGGGCTTTACTTAGGTTAACTTGGACTGAGCAAAAGTCATACTCAGTGCCCTGGATTTTTACTTCTCAACATTGACACTTACTCCACTCATCCCTCTCCATTGGTAAAGTCTCACCATGGTTACAGCTTGGTGCAGTGGTGTTGTGCAGGGTAGATGGATAGAGCTGCACTTCACACCTTTTGATTAAGAAACTCTGAGGATGGGGCCTAGCGATCTGTGTTTTAGTAAACCCTCCATGTGATTCTGATGCACTCTAATGTATGAAGCAATTAGCCCATAGTATCACAAAAAGCAATTAGTGCTTTTAAATTGTTCACAGAATGGTACTTATTTACCAGTTATATTTGAAAAAGAAGTCCCTTTTTTTTTTTTTTTGTGGTACACGGGCATCTCAGTGTTGTGGCCTCTCCCGTTGCGGAGCAACAGGCTCCGGACGCGCAGGCTCAGCGGCCATGGCTCACGGGCGCAGCCGCTCCGCGGCATGTGGGATCTTCCCGGACCGGGGCACGAACCCGTGTCCCCTGCATCGGCAGGCGGACTCTCAACCACTGCGCCACCAGGGAAGCCCTTTTATACAATTTTTAAAGATTACTTTAAAGTTCTTCAGGTTATTTTCATTGAAATTTATCATAACGGTTAAGACTGTGCTTTTCTGTGGTTTTTCACTCTAATACCCTATCAAAAGTATTTTTCAATTAAGATAAACTTTTTTTTTCATTTCCAAAATACTGCCTCTTCATCCTATTACACATTTTTCAAAGGTGAGTTTTTGGAATAAGTTTGTATTGCTGCCTATATATTTTATGCTGTAGTCACTAAAACTGTTCAGAAGACTTTTACTGGCCTCAGACTTGGGAACCAGAGTATCCTGCCACTAGTTCTACCCTTTCCCCAATGAACACATTTCCCATCACTATAGATAGCTCTCTTTGCATCACACCCAGAGGCTGGCCCATATTCTTCATTTCGTGGGAATTAAACTCTGTATTCCATTTTTCAGTTTGTCCTTATGTTGAATAATTTTCCTATATATGTTGACTAACATTGTCCTTAGTGAAGAAATGTGAGATGACAGAATACTGATGAGAAACTTTGAGGTCCTGATATATTTCTCAGTTTCCCTCACATCATACTCACTAACAGTTTTCTACCCTGCCAAGGCTCCCCCTTTTCCCCCTAATAATCTCCTCCCCAGGCACCTTTATTGGTTAGCCTTACTGCTTATTGACAGAACAAGAAAGAATAAACCTTTGTGTTCTTTCAAAGAAGGAAAATAATGTTTTCGGGAATGTGGACTAGCAGATGATCAAAGGGGCTGTCATTATTCTGTGGTAACTGCTGCCAGATTTCAGAATCAAGTGCTTTAGTTCCACGTAACACTTTAGATATACTTAGCTCTGCCACTATTTGTGTTTGCAAGCCAGGCCCGGATCATTTTCAGTTGCTATGTGAATGTGTGCCATTAAGTCATAGTAGATCTTCATTTTTTGGAAATGTTAGGAGCTCCCTGTTGACTAACAATGACAGAGCTGCTTGTTGATCAGTGGTGTTTATATGTCTTTGAGTCTTTGCCTCAGACCAATCCCAATACTTCATTGCTGTGAATAATTCTTCCCCACTACTTCCGCCTTTCTCTAGGAGATCATAAGCACTACATAAACTGAGAGAAAGAATCCTTCCTCCTTCTGCTCCTGACTCTACATTTTGGTGTACATTCTGGCTATGTTGATTGTCCCTGCTGTTATTCCTCTCTAATTCTGGATTTTCTCTCAGATCTCTTCCAACAATCAGTACTAATTTATCTTGTTTATCAGTATAATTACATTTTCTGCCTTACTGTGATTTGTTCTAGACAAAGTACTTCCCCAGCCACCTCCCGCTGCCCCTACCTGATCTGCCCGAATTGTTGCTCTTGTGTTATTCCTTGTTCTGAAATCAAGTCCCTCACCCTGGCGTCCACACCCTCCTCTATGTGGCCGTGGCAATCCTTAGTCTTTTCTTCCACAACTGGCCCCTTCTTATCTTATGCGTGATTTGGATTGTACTTTTTCTTTCCCGAATGAACACTATACTTCCTATATCCTTGTCCTAGAGTTCTTTACCTTTCTGATAGAATATACCTTTTTCTCACTTCAAACACCAACTTATTTAAAATCCAAGCATTCTTCAAGGCCATCCCATCTGCTACCTCCTCCTTTGGGCTTTTGCTTGAAAATCTCTTGCCATCTTTTACCTTAGTAGTTTGTCTACTATTACCTTTTACCATATTATATACTTTAAGTCAGGGATGGTATCTTAATCACATTAGTCAGTATTTTTAGTGCACAGTATTTTTTCTGACTTCTGACTAGCTTTTATGACATCTTTGAGGCTGTGAGGTCATTGTTATATTTAGAATACATCTAATTTATCTTTTAACACATAGGTGAAGCTGTTCTGATTCACAGCAATATTTTGTTTGCTCATAGCAACATTTCAGTGTCAATAACATTTTAAGATGTTTTAAGTAATTCAACAATTGATGTACTGTGCTTTAGCTCTTTTTATATATTTTATCTGTATTTCCTGTAATTTATAATTCTCTTCTTTGAAACTAGGCTACTGATATCTGTGATCCCAATCCAATCCTGATGCTCATGTTTTGTGTCTGCATGTATGAAAGACTTCCTGCATATCTCCCCAAGAAGGTGGTGCCCTTTCATTGTACTCTTCATGACACTGTGTTGAGAGAGGTAAGGATATCTTTGGGGCCAAAATATACGTGGAGTTAAACATTTAAGTGGGTTTTAGATATTTCTTTCTCAACCCAAAATTAACAAAAGTATCAGTGTGATAAAATAAGCCTTAAATGTTTTTCCCTTCTAAACTAAAGGTATAGCAGAGTGAAAGAGAATTTTTCCTTAATAGTAATCACTACCTGCAATGAAATGATGCCTCATTCATTTGAGGAATAGGGTGGGGAGATGGAAAATGAAAGTTAAGCACTTTGAAGGGCAAATCATTCAGGAGACTTGAGATCCATTTCATGTACAAGAAGACTGACACAGTAAGTAGAAACTTGTGATTGGAGTATGCTTGGCTTTCCTTTAGGGAACTTTACACATCCAGATGGATTTTGTTCAAATGAGGGTATGGAAAGGGAAGTAATTATGAAAGCACTCCTGACCAGGGCCACTGTTAATCCCCACTAAGGGCTTTTATATATGCTGGAGCTGCTAAATGTGTAACAGTGAATTTTTTTAATATGCAGGAAAAATTAAAAATGAAATTTTCAGTCCTGTGACCCTGACAAAACTATATAAATATGTCCATGTTTTGCAAGTGTTTTCTTTGATTGAGAAATATCTTGTCAGGGATCATCAACAGCACTTTGGTTTTCAAACAATATGTTTCATATGAATACTTGTGAAATATGTTGAGCGTACAGTTTTATTTCTTATATTTGTTTAAGACTGTTCCTTCTACTAGTTTTCATAAAATCTTCAACCAGATTTATAGTTCTCTCCTTCTTTCTCAGGAAAGTCTGGGCTGTTAGAATCTTACTATGTACAGAAGTTAATTTACCTCTTTGGTCAGATCATTTTTATTCCTTGTCCTCAGGCTGTTTTATGTATTCCTCCTCATGTTAAGCTGGGGGGGTGGTAATTTGATACTTTTGATGCAAAACACGTCCATATTTGGTCTTCAAAAGATACATCCTGGTGTTTTGTAGATGTAACCTTCTTGAGAAAATAACTGTGCAGGCTCTGTGACTGTATGAGTGATGGTTAATAAGGATTCAGTTAAAAGTCAGGAAAAACTCAGGTCCTTGTCTCAAAGTGTAAAGGGCTCAATTTAGGGAAAGGAAAGCCACTCCTCCTGATTTTCTGTTAGCAAACATTGAGATATGATCCCTTTTTAAAAATTTTATTTCTTTCCCTTTTTTTGTTGGAAAAAGAGATACAAAACTCTTCAGAGAACTTTTTCAACAGTATTTTGTACGGTAATTCACTACGTGCAATGATAATTAAGGGCCTTGGGTACTAACTGGCCTAGAGCTGTAATTACAATGAAGAGGACTTTTGACTTCAGAATCAAATTTCTGAAGAGTTAGAAATGCTTTGCTTAAGCCTGCAGAAGGTAGGAGAGGTCTGAATTAGATTTAAGCAGTGATTTATTTCACTTAAGTATTATTACTAGTTTTCTAATTCTGTATACGTTTGAATTTCTTTATGCCGTTTGATTATTATTTTGAAAAAGTTAATAACACAAGCTAATTTTTAAACATAAATTTTATTTGTGATGTTAAAAATCAGATTAAAGCATATTAAAATAGAAACATGATTTCTTTCCACACTTTTTACTGAGAATAATGTTCACACTTTAAGATTATAGATGTGATTCTACATAGAGCTTTTATTTTTCACAAATATAATAAACATCTTTTGAAGGAAACAATAAAAATTAAATAGAAATGCAAAATAAAATATCAATTACAACATACTTTGATTTTAAATTTCATTCAAGAAAATCACTGATTTGGAAATTGCTGAGAATCTATGGCATAGTTTGCCCATATGCATCAACACGGTAAATGGCAGTGCCTAAGTAGTAGAATGTCATTCTTAACAACCCTTTCAACCTTCCAGTATAAAGAAAAATCTCAAGAAACGGCTACTATAATTGAAAAAGTATTTTTGTAGCTATGTGTCACAAATAGAATACTGGGACCATTAAACAGTATAATGATCAGTGAAAAAATGTAGAGTGCAGTGATTTTCTGAGATACTTTTAAAAGCAATAGAACTATCTTTTTTTTTTTTACTTTTTGAAACAAAATTTACACAGGAGCACAATAGTTAAAGAATGGCTGTCATTGCAAAAGGAGAATTGAGGTTCCAAAACTTGCTTTCTTTCCTTGAACAGCTTTCCCTTCTCCCCATCTACCACTCACATGACCCCTACATGAAATCCTGGAGTTGGGTGGAATAATCTGACCACAGATGGGCCCTATGCCTTTGCATCATTTATTTATTTATTTATTTATATATAAATTTATTTGTGTGTGTGTGAGACATAATGAGAATGAGTAGCTTTCTTCAGATCTCACGGCTGGTTATGGAAGTTCCAAAACTATAAACCAGTAACAGTTCATAGTACATCTACTATTATTTTCAACATTTCCTTCCAGAAAATGGAAATTAGCTCTCTGTGACTTAAAATCACTAGATCTGTTAATTAATACTTTAAATGCACACATACGTACATTAAAAATAAGACACTAGAGGAGTCTTGCCTCGATTGTTACTGAGATCTGTAAACAGGTAAACAACATGAGAGCCCCAAATTTGAGGGTAAACAAAGGGTGGAAACTCTTCGGCAACAACTTACTTGTCTTGGTGGTTACCAGAGTTCTTATTGAAATATAAAAGTAGTTAATTTATCTTTCAACAGATGTCTACCATATTCTATCTATGACTATAGTTCCTGGACTGCCTAAGTGCTGTCACCTTTTCCTTACTCTAATTTGGCCAACCATTCACTTCCCTCAGGTCTTCTCTGTCCTCTGGGTCAGTACTTTCCATGATAACTCTGTGTCGTTCTAATGTGTATTTTTTTTAATCCCCATTATATTCTGCATAAACACTTATATACTCACATTTTTCATGAAATGCTCTCTAAAAATGAAGTAACTCACTCTCAAATATTCTCCATATCTTGGCATCAGGAAGGAAGGGACAGCCAACCCTTAGCTCTACTACCACTTCTAGATGAGGCCACCACCGTTTTCAGCCTTGACCTCTGATACTAAACCTACACTCCTTATAATGCTTTCTACACTGAGCAGCCAGAGTAACCTTTTTGTAAATTGGATTATGTAAGTTCTCTGTTTCAAATTCTTTAAAGATTTCCCTTTGCAGTACAGTTAAAATCCAAGTTGCTAACTTTGGATTTCATATCTTCAAAGATCAGGTGTTCTTACATCTGTAATTTCCTTGACTGGTAGCTCTTTCTCCCTGCCCACTTCTGGAAAAAAAACAATAATACACACACACACTATCTTTGAACACAAATTCTGCTTCCTTCCAGTTACTACCCTAGGAGTAAGTATTTTCATGATTAAAATATATAACTCTTTGATAAAAATAAGAAATGTTAAGTTATATATTTTTAAAATTCATGATCTCATTTATACTCTTCTTCAACATAGATTCTACTGAAAAATTCAAGCTTGAAAAACTTAGTGTATAATGCTACAATTATCGGAAGAGATGCCACTGACTTCTCCCTCTCCCAAGGGAATGTTGTGACATTGTCTCCAAAGTAAGTGTTTTTTTTCTTTTAATTTTGCTTCACTGAACATATCAACCGTAGAGATTTAATGTGTGTTATAATTACAAAAGAGCGAGCTGGATTTGTTTTTTTTTTAAATAAATTTATTTATTTTATTTATTTATTTTTGGCCGAGTTGGGTCTTCATTGCTGCTTGAGAGCTTTCTCTAGTTGCAGAGAGCAGTGGCTACTCTTTTCGTTGTGGTGCACAGGCTTCTTATTGCGGTGGCTTCTCTTGTTGTGGATTATGGGCTCTAGGCACATGGGCTTCAGTAGTTGTGGCTCCCAGGCTCAGTAGTTGTGGCTCGCAGGCTCTAGAGTGCAGGCTCAGTAGTTGTGGTGCACGGGCTTAGTTGTTCCGCGGCATGTGGAATCTTCCCAGACCAGGGCTCGAACTGGTGTCCCCTGCATTGGCAGGTGGATTCTTAACCACTATACCACCAGGGAAGTCCCTGGATTTGTTTTTAACAGATATATATGTGTAATGAAAAGATTGCCACTGCTGATATAGGTAAGTTATTCATATGTTACTGAGATTTCTCACCAATTTTGTTAAAACAGTTCTAACAATATAAAGCATTTACTTTTTATGTATGCATTTAATTTTAGTTTATTTTGCATGCATATGGTCCGTAGAGAATAGCCTCTAAGTTCTTTATGTACTACAGTCCCAGTCCAGGAAACTGGAACCAGTGTGTGCTAAATATATATATATATATATATATATATATAATATTTAGTTGTTTCTGATTATAAATGCACTTCGTGCTCATTGTAAAAATTTAGAAACTATGAAAGAATGAAGAAAAATAAAAGTAAAGACTAAAAATCTTACCTCAAAGATACCCCCAATGTTTCCATTTTTCTCTATCGCTTCATAATCATTGTATATTTATGTATGGATGTATACATACATGTACACTCCCAAATTGTGATGATATTCTATATAGTCTCATTTTTATTTGATTCTGTTCACACGATACTTGTTTAATGTTTCAATTACTAGCCCATTCTAAAAAATAAGGAACAAATGAAAGCCTCAGGGAATAGTCTTGAGAAATTAAATACGAGCATAATATATAATTCTTCCTAGATCAACAAATCCTACTTCATATATTAATGTGTTAATGATGGCAAATACTCTTATTACATATTACAACGATGATATGAGAATAGCTGTGTCAGTACCACAGGAGTTGACAGATTTGATAACCAGTAATGGTCTTTAACCAGTCTTAAATTTTAGTCATTGTCTTTGTATTCAATTACTTTTTCCTTGTACAAAGCAACAGACTATAACTGCCAATTATCTTTTTGGTTTTTGAACTATACCTTAAACTGAATTACTTTTCACATGTAGTCTTTATTACTTCTAATATATCAAACACAGAAATAATTGGAAATGGGAGACAACTTTAATAGTATTTAAAATACGAAGAAACCCAGTTACAGTAGTACATTTGACTTGTGTCATTAGCCTCTGTTCATTTTCTTCACTTGCTGCTCCATGCTAAAGGAGTATATAATTTATAAAATCTGAATATTCATTGTTGAGACTATATCCAGATTGAATTAAATATGAGAAAAACAATTCTCCACTCACCTCTATCTATATTATAAATCAAATCCCAGAATAAAACTCTTTGTAAAAACAGCCCATTTGTTTTCCAAGTTATATTTCTTATACGTCTGTTATAAAACACAACTTTGGTAATACAAATTCATTTGGACATTGTCACAGAACCATTTGTCTTCCCTCAGGACTTTGATAAATGATCTCTTCTCTGCCCTTCAAATAGGATGATACAAGTGAAAAGAATTAAGTCCCCCCTGACCCTTTGTTCACTCATAAACCTGATAGCCTCTTCCAGTATTTCAAAGTTCTCATGATGTGGAAATTCTTCCTAACAACCACACTAAACCTCTGATGTCGTAGCTTAAGACCATTTTTCTTGTTAGTTAAATTAACAATTAAATTTATAGTTTCTATTATAAATGTAAAACCTGTATACCTGCATTGTTGAAAATTTGCACTTAACAGAAAAATGTAAAGAGGAGAACAAAAATTGTCTAGAATTCCATCAGATAAACACATTTAATTTATTCATTTCTTTCCAGTCTTTTTATATGAACAAGTATGTGTTTATTATAGCATATGTATAATTAGATGTTTACAAAGTAAATGTATTATATATATAAATATTAAAACAATATATGTTAAACATTTGTTATGTATGAAATCTATATAGCATACACTTTTTTGTACCTTTTCATATTTAATCATTCTTGCAACCATACTAGTGTCCTCGTTTTACAAAACAAGACATTGGGCACAGAGACATTAAATCATTTGCCCAATTTTCCCTGCTATTAAATGGTGAAATAAAGATTCAAAACCAGCCAATGTAAATCCAGAGTTAGTACTCTTATTAAACTAACACCTGCCATACTGTGTGTCTGTGTTTGTGTATATCATATTCATACAGAGCCCTTGGCATTCAGTGAAATGTGACTTTGACTATTTGTAAGAAATCCTGAAGATCCATGACATGTAATTATATCATTTTTGCTTCTCCAGGAGCTGGTTTGTGAGAACATTTCACTTGGGTGAACGTAATTCCCATTAATTTCTCAGCGGTGCTTTTTTCTTTTTATTCACCATTGTACCTTTAATGGTCTGCATCAATATAGACATATTTATGAATATTAGCTTCTTGAGGTTTTTAACACATGCCAAGTGAACGTTAACTGACCATATATCCATGTACACTTATACATGTAATCATGAATATATGTATTCATATTTTGACCATATTGTACATGTACATATATTCTTGTTTTCAACTTCTTTATCTTTTTTAATCAAAATTTAATTTGAATCTGCTTTAACAACTCAGATACAGAAGAGTTTAACATACAAAGGAAATCCTTCTCCCCTCATATTCCCATCTCCAGAGATCCAATTCTTTTTTTTTTTTTTTTGCGGTATGCGGGCCTCTCACTGTTGTGGCCTCTCCCGTTGCGGAGCACAGGCCCCGGACGCGCAGGCTCAGCGGCCATGGCTCACGGGACCAGCCACTCCATGGCATGTGGGATCTTCCTGGACCGGGGCACGAACCCATGTCCCCTGCATCAGCAGGGGGACTCTCAACCACTGCGCCACCAGGAAAGCCCAAAGATCCACTTCTTGAGTGCCTACTTTTAACTCTTTCAACTATGTCTAATTTTAGTTCTTCCAATGGTTACCTCCATAAATATAAATAATCTATATATCTTTGCCAGTGTTTTTATTATGTCAGCTTCAGAAATAATGTCTTGACATATAGCTATATTTGATGGTCTTGCTTACTTATTCCTCTAGATGGATCACCCTCCCACCAAACATCACTAGTTTTATCCTCTGTTCATTACTGTTCCAAGAGTAAAAATGTGTTTTGTAAATATTTCTTATGCAATCAGTGTACAAAGCATCTTTTGATGCTTTTTTTAAGCTGAGAAAATAAATTCTAAAGAAGTGAGTAAATTTAATCCTTCCTTCAAGTATACCACATTCTAGAGCACTTTACCTTTCATTCTTATTTGGACTGAGTGCTTTCCAGACCTACTGAAGAGCTTAGTATTGGGCACTCTATATTTCTCTTTGGATAGAAACTAATATCCTTCTCTTTCTTAGTGTACTCACTTATTTACTAAAAACTTCCTTTATGAAACCTTCTAATAAAAAGTATGGGAGAGGTAAATTTCCTAAAATTTTTATTTTTAGGCATGTCTTTTGACTACATTTACACTTGATTTATTTTTTGCTTCCTATATTTTTCCAAGATGAAAAGGTTTTTCCTCATAACTCTTGAGATAATTGTTCCACTTGCCTCATGGTATTCAGTATTGGTGATGAGAAAGTCTACTATAATTCTGTTTTCCCACACCTCTGGACATTTTTAGGATCTTCCATTGTGTTGTGATATTGTTCCAGAATGCATCAAGGAGGGACTTTTTTTTTTTTTTTTTGCGGTACGCGGGCCTCTCGCTGCTGTGGTCTCTCCCGTTGCGGAGCACAGGCTCCGGACACGCAGACTCAGTGGCCATGGCCCATGGGCCCAGCTGCTCTGCGGCATGTAGGATCTTCCCAGACTGGGGCACGAACCCGCGTCCCCTGCATCAGCAGGCGGACTCTCAACCACTGCGCCACCAGGGAAGCCCAAGGAGGGACTTTTTAAATTCACTATCTGGGTGCACAGTGAGTCCTTTAATTATGAACTTGTTTTTCATAAGCTCTGAAAAGTTCTCTTAAATAATTTCTTTCATCATTCTCTCCCCTCCATTTTCATTGTTCTCATTTTCCAACCTTTAGTTGTTGGATACTACCTGTTAATTGGATCCTCTGTATATCTTATCTTATCACTCATATTTTTCAGCTCATTGCTTTTTTCTCTCTTTATCAACAAGCCTTCTTTTCCAACTGTTTCCTTTAGGAGAGAGAGAGATAGATAGATAGATAGATAGATAGATAAATAGATAGGTGATCTCCTATATATATTTGTAAGAATACTTTCTTTTGCATTGAGTATCTCTATTTTATAGCATCCTGTTCTTAAACTGGAGTTATAATATCTTAATAAGCATCTCTGATTTTTGTATTCTGACTTTTACATTCTCATCTATGACCTGTGTTATTTTTATTTTCTTTGAGATCAGTCAGTATGTTTGTTTATCTTGGTCTCAGTGATATAAAAATATCTTTTTAGACTAAATAATTTAGAAGACTTTGGTTTTTACACATAGGGTTCAGAAAATATTTTATTTTCTTTAAAAAATCTATAGGTTTATCATTATCAGATATTATATAATTATCTATGTGCACCATATCCTGTCTTAGATTCTGTCTGAATCATGATTAATAATGGCTCTTTCTGCCAGTTGTGGATTTAAATTCCCTGAGATATCATTTATATAGAAAAGATTAAACAGCTATACCAGCATATAAAAAAACATTTCTGCATCTAACTTGATGACTAAATTTAGCTCTAATCATAGAGTGACTGTCATAGAAGTGCAAGTATACTTTTAGAAAACCATTCTGTTTCTTTTTTTCTCATTATTCTCATTGAGCCATCTGGGCACTGACATTGATGTGTCATATATTTATTTTCCATCCCATCCAAAAGCCATGTTGAAGTAGTCTATGAGGTACATGTAATATAAAGGAGACTTTTTTGAATGAGGGGGGGGCAATTGGAACAAAAAGAAAATAAAAGATAAAAAAATTAAGATAAAGTCCATAATTATGATATGCATCTGGAGACATAAGATACTTACCTGAAAAGGACAACCCACTTGATTCTGAAATTTCTAACACTCTCAGGAAGGAATACTGGTCATTTCCATGCTTAAATATGACTACAAAATTTATAAAAGGAATATCTATACTCAGGAGAAGCTCAAATCTTGATGGTCCTAAAACCAGCTGTTGGCTTCATAAAAAGGATACTCTATTTTAAAATGTTTTATAAAACTTAAGTATAGTTCCATAAATTTATTTACTAAGTGCATGTTATTTAGCTTATGGTCATTCTTTTTTTTTTTTTT